ATACATATTAAAGAAAATTAGGACATTAAGTGGGCTATTTAGAAGTATATATGAGGATCTTCATCAAAACCATTCTAGCTTAAAGAAAGAAATAACTAATTGTAATCAAAGTACAAATATACATAACGTTTTAAGTAATTTTAGCACTGCTAACAAAACATAACTTTAATATTAAGATATAAACTAATACGACCGCATAACTACTTTTTCATAAGTAAGCAATTTGGTTTTGATGTCTTTTTCTTCTTGATTGAAAGCAATTTCTATATTAATTACATAAATAACTTCTTGTTGCAATGAACACTACTTTCTTAATATTGTACCTATTTTTTGAGGATTCATAAGCTGTATTTATGTAATATTATATAGCTTAAAAGGGGGGAAAATAATAATACGATCTTTCATCTTATAAATGTATGACAAGTTGAGTTACAAAAAGTAAATGTTTAGACCGTATATTTATTAATTAAAAGCCGAAAAAGATTGGTCCCCTTGTGAAAGAGATAGACCAAGAAGGCTCCTTATAAGAGCATTTAAATATGATTTTTGTGACACCTAAAAAAATCTTTTTTTCCTTCTCCCAATTTTCATGTGCATTGCTTTGTTCCCTCGCCATCACTCCACCCCATTTATTTCCCCACCTATAGATATAGTATACTTTTATGTCATGAACTTGTATCTATAGAAGTATAGATAGTCTCATATCTTCACATTACTATAGTATAGGTTCTCTTTTTACCACTATCCAAAGTTTAGCCCCACAATCTTTATCATTCTTACTTTATATATTGGATCTCAACTCCTCCTCAAACTTACTGTCGGCTTATTAATTAAAACTCTGATCGCGATAACTAATTATGCATTTACTTTGGTGACAAAAAAATTAAAAGAAAACAACAAAAAATGTATTTAACAGAAGTTGATTTCGTGTTTTGAGTTTCGACGAACATGTCAATATATCAGTAGACGTAGTTGAATTTTTATCGAATTACTATCGTGGTTATTATAAGATAAAAAATACCTATGCACAAAAACCAAATTAAATAGTAGTAGACAAGAAATTATAGTAAAAATCTGAATACTTTGGACGTAGAATATAAAAGTATAAAACTAAAATTAGACTAGTAATCATAAGCCAATCACAAGCTTATTAAGATGTAAATAGTTCAAATGATATGTCACACTAAATTTACTTACATGCAGAGAGAGAACAACATTGGTAGTAATAACGCCGACATATGGCAGCAGCAACACGATACGCAAGAAGTCGTGTCGTTTGAAAATTTTCCGGCGGAAAGTTCACCGGAGATCTCTCATGACGTTGAGAGCACAGCTTCTACTCCAGCAACCAATGTTGGAGACAGAAAACACGCCATGGCTGTGGCTATAGCCACTGCAGCTGCTGCAGAAGCCGCGGTTGCAGCCGCACACGCCGCGGCTAAAGTCGTTCGGCTTGCCGGCTACAACCGCCAGACGGAGGAAGATAGCGCCGCCGTGCTCATCCAATCGCACTATCGGGGTTATTTGGTAAATTATCAATCCTAATTTTATTATCAAATAAATTCCAACTCTCATAACACACTTGAATAATTTACCATTTTACCATAAACTTTTAGCAGTTCTCTTATTCCACAAAAATTGAAATGCATTTGGTTTAGAATCCGGTATAACTAAATTCATTTCAGTATTATTACTAAACTGGTTTTAATGGAATTTTGTGTTTAGTACAACACAATTTATTGGCTAACATTTTCTTTCATTTTAAACTTTTTGTAGTTGTAATTTGTAGACTAATGCCAAACCAGAAATCTTAAGAAAAACATTCTTCGTTACCAAAATTATGACCGGTTTGTGGTCTTTTTTCTAGGCGAGGCGAGCACTTCGTGCCTTAAAAGGACTAGTTAGGCTACAAGCATTGGTCCGTGGCAACCACGTTCGAAAACAGGCACAAATGACTATGAAATGCATGCAAGCTTTGGTTCGTGTCCAAGGCCGAGTCAGAGCGAGAAGACTCCAAGTGGCTCATGACCGGTTTAAGAAACAGTTTGAGGAAGAAGAGAAGCGGTCCGGGATGGAAAAACCGAACAAGGGTACGTATTGAAATGATTTCAGTACAAACTAAATCACTCAATTTGTATATACATATATAATTAGTGGTGAACATAATATTTGTATGGTTAAGTAGTGTTTGCGAATCTCAAAACCGAACGAGAGAAACCGAAGAAATTACATGAAGTGAATCGAACCAGCCAGTACCAAACTCCGGGAAAGGTAATGAGGAAAAATCTTACGTACTATTTTGCTAATGTTTCAATATGTTTCTTTAAGTAATTACACTATTGGAATCTTCTTAGCTAATGTATTTTGAATATCAGGAAAAAGAGAGGAGTGAAGGAATGATGAAAAGAGAGAGGGCTCTTGCTTATGCATACACTTACCAGGTTGGTCGCCACTCTGTTTCTGTTAAAGAAAAATTCCCTCTTAATTGTCTTAAAATATACTATGCATTATAGGTCCTTTCTTAAACATTTTTCATAATGATTTCGGTTTTCATATTGAAGCGCCAAATGCAACACACAAATGGTGAAGAAGGGATTGGGCTTTCTTCTAATGGGCCTGATAGAAACCAGTGGGCTTGGAATTGGCTTGACCATTGGATGTCTTCTCAGCCATACACAGGCCGTCAAACCGGCCCGGCTCCCGGTCCCGGACAGTACAATCCTCCTCCGTATCCGCCTTTTCCGACAGCCGCAGCAACCACAACATCTGATGATGTATCGGAGAAGACGGTGGAAATGGACGTGACCACTCCCACTAGCCTCAAGGCCAATATAATCGGGCTTATTGATCGAGAGTATATAGACTTAGGATCATATAGACAAGGCCATAAGCAACGGAAAAGCCCAACCCATATACCAAGCTATATGGCTCCAACCGCATCTGCTAAGGCTAAAGTTCGAGACCAAGGCACAACCGTCAAGCTACAAGGAACTTCTTTTATGCCGTATTGGAACTCCTCAACCAAAAACGGGTCTGTTAATGGATCAGGTTGTGATTCATCAAGTTCAGGTGGAGCAATAACAACCGGTTATCCCGGTCCTAGGAGTCCTAACCCAAAATCGGATATCCGACGTAAACCGGTTAGTCCTAGTCAAAGTCCTACCGGGTTTGGGAAGAGAGGCTGGAGGCATGATCATTAGAAGAAATCATCTTAAATCTTGAATAAAAACTTACATGTGTGCGCTTGGTTGGTTAATTATCGTGTTCGAAATATATTTTCGTTGTTACATAATTCTATATGACATTAATAATAACATGTCATCTCAAGTTTTTAATGTCACGGTCTAATTTAAAAGAAAAATCCGAATTCTACTTTGATTTCCTTAAATGAGGTCATATCGACTTGGTCTGGTTAAACCGATATACCAGGAGTATATTACCTCCAAAATAAGCTCAACGACGAGCATAAACAACTTGGAAGGAGGCCGATCGAGGAGTTAGTTTGGTAAAAAGTCAATTTCATAATCCATAAAAGAAAACTTTGATGTCCCGTTTCACATGATTAACTCAAAGAATGCTCACATCTCTGGATACCTTGTAAACTACTTGATAGATCTCCCATGGAACAAAATATTTTTTTCATATACTATGAATAGTGACAACAAGTGTAGTTGTGGAATGGAAGAGTCCGTGAGTATGGGAACTAGGGAGTCCCATCTTGACCTGAATCTGTTGCCAAGGAGACCACGAGATAGTGATGACCAGACTTGAGAGGAGTATGACCAGGAAAAAAATAGATGGTCCCATGTCTCTACTTGTTCACTGCAAAATACACAATTACTACTCGCTCCTACATTCCACTTTACCAATCTATCTCACGTAGCTAGGCGATTATGAATAGTAATTCTGAAAGAGAACTTAGATGTGAAGTTAGGGAACCATACATCATTGTACCAATCAAAAATTAGATTTACTTGCCGAATCAAATGCCAAGGGTCTTGGCGTCTTGCGAAGAAAACTTACAAGTAAATGAGTCATTTTTCCTTCTCCAAAGAAGTCGATCCTTGCCGGTTGGTAACTTGTTTCTTCTCCATGGAAAAAGGAAAAAGGTATGTAAATTACTACTACTGGAACTAGGCACGTCTCAATCTATGAGAGGGTCATAGGTAAAACCAATAAAAAGTTAAAAAGTTTTTTACTAATTTTTTTTCAATCTAAAAATTAGACCTTTATAATTTAATAGAAATTTTGAATTTTTTTGGACCCATAGCAAATGTGTTATGTTGCCTACTTTTAGAATCGGGTGTGTCTCTGGGCAAGGCCAAGAGTTCAAATCACAATATATACACGATATTATATAGTCTGTTAAAGTCAAGCCTTATATTGCAGCCTTTGCATGTGGAGAATAGATTTACAAAAAACTTGAAAATTTATTGGCAATTTTTCCTTTCTTTAGAAGTTCTTAAAAGTTAGTATTATTAAATGGTAGTATTTTTGAAAAATAATATTTTTTAAATGTTGCAAACATGCAAGAATTTGAAAAAAATCCGATTGCTAACCTAAAAAAAACGAATTAAATATGGGACTCTCAACTTTTGTATTAAATGACTAAACTAAAAATGATGCAAAAGAAAGAAAATGAATCGCATGTTTAATTTGTTGCACCAAAAAGTTATTTTGGTGATAGGAAATAAGTATAACCGATGATATAAATTTGCACAAAATGATGACCGCTCGACCATAGTAACCACTCAGACTGTGTGATTGATAATGAGAATGACAAACATGATTTATAATCATGGAATTATAGTTTTTATTATTTATAAAAGTAATAAAGAATTACATGGCTGTCTAAAGACGTGCGTCCCTTAATCATTGCATGTTTTTCACTTTTTATCTCAAAAGTTATTTTGTTAAAAATGTTTTGACATGTTTCTTTTGGGGTCAAAATCAAATGCATATAGCAAAATTGTTTTGAAAAAAAAAAAAAAAAAAGAATTAGAGGAAACAAAAAAGAGAGAGCGTTTCGTTTTTCTCCGGAAATGATGTGACAAAAGTGGGTTAAGTCTGAGGTTTCTTCGACTTGTCTCTCTATACCAACAACACTCAACGAGTACGAGACCATCATCAGTTCATCACTCACTTCCTTCCTTCAAATCTCATCTAAATCAATAGACACATTTCTCTCTTTGGCTCTCTATCCAAATTCGAACTGTTGTTACTCTCTTCAAATCTTCATTTTTCTCAGACGAATTGAATCTCTCCTTGCAGCAGAAACACCCAATAAAGGAACAACAGAGAAGTTTTGATTGAATAATAACACTTCCACAGGTTTTCTTCCACTCTCATTATCTGAAATTTCACTTGAAAGGTCGAAACTTTTTTTGTCTACTGGGTTCTCATTATCTTCTATATAACTCATCAATTTGTTTAGGATTTAGCTTTGTGGTTTTGAATTGGGTTTTGCTACTTCTCCTCTCTCGATATTGCAAGTTAAAAGCTTTATTTTTTTTAGTGTTCTTGAGGGTTTTAGGGTACAATTTGTTTTCCTCAGGACTGGGTTTTGCTTGCTTGTTTTATATGTGTTTTAATGAGCTTGTGATTTTCAAGTGTTCTTGGAAAATCTAGAATGAAACAGCTTTGAAGAAGACTTGAGGTTTATCTTCATTCTTATTTGGTGATTTCTTATTTTCCCACAGTGACAAGGATATAGAATCCGCTTCCTTTCTGTCGAAAAGATAGAAGATTACAGTGGCTACACTACAATGCCTGCGTCACATGATGCATCGAATTACGATGAGGTTTCTATGCAACAAAGCATGCTCTTTTCTGATGGTCTTCAGGTATATTCTGATAATTGGTTTAAGTCTCCATCCGAATTAGAAGGAGGATGCTATCAAGCACAAACACATTCTTTCTATGTGTGAAACCAATACAACAGTGAAATGCTAATTAATGGTCTCTGTGATTGAACTTCCAAGTATTGTTACAATGTTGAATCATATCTCGTTTTTCAGAATCTTTGAAGGTTCATTTGGCAATTAAATGTAAGGCTTTCTGCTCTTTTTTTCTCAGGACTTGAAGAATTTGCGTGCGCAGTTGTATTCGGCAGCTGAGTATTTCGAACTATCTTACACTACCGACGATAAAAAGCAGATGTGAGTTAGTATTCAGCAGCACTTCAGATTCTTTGAAATTGTTCTTGGTTTTTCTCAATAGTTGTTTCTCATGTTGAATGCAGAGTTGTAGAGACACTGAAAGACTACGCTGTGAAGGCTTTGGTGAATACAGTTGACCATTTAGGCTCTGTTACATATAAAGTGAACGATTTTATTGATGATAAAGTCGATGAAGTATCAGAGACCGAACTACGAGTATCTTGCATCGAACAGGTATATCCTAAAACTTGTATGTATCCGTAAAGATTCCTACTTTAGGCTCTTTATCAGATAGATTTTTCTTATTCGAGTTACTAAGTTTTAAATTTTTGTGTTTATGTTGGAAAAATAACAATGGGATGGTGGTTAGAGGCTAAGGATGTGCCAAGAGTATATGGATCATGAAGGGCGTTCACAGCAGTCACTTGTGATCGACACTCCAAAGTTCCATAAACGATACATCTTACCCGGTAATTCTCTCTTTCTCTCTCGCACTCGGGTTACAAATTTTCGAGACTCACGGGCAAAAGATGCATTCTGTATCAGCTGGTGAAATTATGACTGCTACCAATCTTGAAAAGCTTAAATACTTTGGAAGCAGTTTAGAGGATGCAGATGATTGGAACCAATTCCGAAATGGTAATTTGGTATTTTCTATGCTTCTCTGTCGTACACAATCCAAGATTCAAGATTTCTTACTAATTGGTTGGTTTCTCTTTCACTCTTTTAAAGCTGTTCGTGCTACAATCCGGGAAACACCTCCACCACCTGTTAGGTAAAATCTCCAAACGCTTGCTCAAGAAATGACACAAAACCGACATCACAAACACCAAAAAGCAATGAGACCGGATGATTTTTTTAATTGTGTTCCAATCAAATTGTCTTTGCAGAAAATCAACATCTCAGACTCCATCTCCACGGCAACCACCTCAACGATCAGCAACCTTTTCGTTTACCTCCACCATTCCGAAGAAAGAACAAGGTAAAAACCGCTATGGCTTGGTACTTTTTCGCTGAATTACAATCTAAAACACCCGATCTTTTATTCATGTTTTCGTGTGATACAATCAGATAAGAGATCAGTTTCACCGCATCGGTTTCCACTACTAAGATCAGGATCAGTCGCTACCCGGAAGTCAGCATCAATCAGCCGACCAACGACACCAAGCAAGAGCAGATCTATAACTCCTATACGGGTATAAAAAGCTTCCTTTCGAACAAAACTCTACCAAAAAAATGTCTGTCTCATCAATTTACCTCGTCTTGATTCTCCTTTTGCATTTTCCAGTATCCATCAGAACCAAGAAGATCAGCTTCGGTCCGAGTCGCATTCGAGAAAGAAAACCAGAAAGAAACAGAGCAGCAACAACCGAGCAAGAGCAAACGATTGCTTAAGGCTTTGCTTAGTCGACGCAAAACCAAGAAAGACGACACTCTCTACACTTTCTTGGACGAATACTGAAAATGCCAATACCGGTTTATCTGTGGAAGCGCGTTACTAAACCGGAAAATTGTGGATTTCCTATTTTTTCTTTTCTCTTTCTATATTATTAATATATTTTATAATATAAAGAAAAATATATATATTTATACTTTGTTGTTAAGAGTATGTAAACCGAAATACTATTAATAGTAAATGGAATTCCTACAATTTTTTCTTTGCTAAATAGTGAATTTTTACAATTTAAAAAATTCAAAACAAAAGCGAGTATAGAAATGAAATTTTAGTTATTTCCGGTCAGTTGGCTTCCCAGTTTGGGCATAAAATTGGGTTTTTAGTTTCATCTTCCCTCCCAAAACTAAACCGGTAAATAGTAGAACCCAAACAAGATATCCTAAACCGTACTGTGATGTTCAAACCGGAACCACCAAAGTGTTCCTGAACTCATAAGGCCTGGGCAAAATAACCGGAACCGAATACCCGAACCGAAAAACCCGAAAAAATATCCGAACCGAACCCGAACCGATTTTTAAAAATATCCGAATGGATCCTAGACCTCATACCCGAAAAAAACCCGAACCGAACCCGAACCGAATCCAATATCCGTGGGTACCCGAATACAAATATACACCTAAAAATATTAGTTATATTTATACTTATAATATCCGAAATACCTAAAATTACAATCATAAATCCGAATATACTAGGTATTTTTGAGTAATTCGGATACATTTGGATATATTTGGTTAAAAAGTAACTAATGATGTAGTTTTCTTTTGGGTAATTTTAGTATTTTTAGATATTTTTGGTTATATTTGGGGAAAGAGTAACCAATGTATTTTTGAGAAATCGGGTATTTCGGTTAGATTTGGGTATATACGAGTAAAAAACCCGAACCCAAAAATATTTCGGGTATTTTGATTTTTTATTAAAATACCCGAACCGACTCGAACCCGAACCGAATCCGAACCGAATTTTTAGAATATTCGAATGGGTCTCGACTCCCTACCCGAATAGACCCGATACCCGAAAAAAAAAGAACCGAACCCGAACGGCTACCCGAATGCCCAGGCCTACTGGTTATGCATAATGTGATCCATTCAAAACCCGGTCCCGGTTATCTTAAGGAGGGATTCACAAGACACGAGCTTATGTTGAAAACCAAAATTCTCCTTTATTCTTTGTATTCGACTTTTGTCACATCACACGATCATAAACTATACCAAAACATCGAATTTTTACCCATACAATTACAAAAATCATAATCATGATACGTGTTGTTGTGAGATATAAAATTATCTTATACCTCGATCTTCTCGGTATGATTTATAAGTTCATAGGCTCGATCATTAGCTAAGAATAAATAGATTTTTATTCTTATTTTACCAAAAGGATATACATTAGACATACACATAATAGGAAATTTCACATATACATTTACATACAACCAGTAGCAAATGCTACGTTGCATGTCCATTGACACCCATCGGGAAATGCCTTGTTTTGCGGATACACGACATACATGACGGGTTCTTGGTGCATCACATGCCAGATGGACTCCTGCTGCAATAAACTTCGACTTTGTACCATTCCATTGTAGGGAAATGTTATAATATTCAGAAAAACTTACAGTAAAGATCTTTTTTTTTTTTAAAGTATATATATGGAAGAAATGCATCTATTGTATAATTAATTAAAGAATTAGTAAATTTTTGTAAAAACTATTGAATTTTGAACATATATAGGTAATTTACATACTATACAATAGTTGAATGTCATTACTAATATTAATATAAATCTAAGTACTAATTTTATTATTAACTATACCATAATATTGTATATGTTATTACATAGATAAAATATACAATTGGTAAAGTAGTGGATGCCTTTTTCTCTTTTGGTTCCATATGGTAGATCATTTATGTACAACATAAAAATAATCACTAAATATTAAAGGATACTTTCACTTTGGATGAAAACAAGTTATGAAGTTCTTTTAAACACTTTGGATCTTATATCTAATTATTATGCATAGGTTTTCAACGGTGGATCAAACGTTTCAACTTTTCATTAATGGTGCATCAGTTTTACTGGTGTAAATGTAGGAAATTCAGAGTAATGTTTATACGTTTCAGTAGTGTGTCATAAAAATCAATTAGAATCTGGTATTTTTAATTAGATATTAATTGTGTAGAAAAATTGAGTAGAAGAGTCAACCAAACGTTTCAAGAGTGATTATAATATGAATTAGTAAATTTTTTCTTTCTTTCAGTTCCATACATATTAGACTTCTCGGTTTCGGTTATCTCAAGGACGAATTCACATGAGATCATATTAATTGAAAACTGAAAAGACTGAACTCGGGAACTTTCTCGATGAGCTATAATCTTGTCATATCATTTCCTTTTCAAATTCCATAAAAAAAGAGAACAACAATCACTAAAAGATTATTGAACATATCGGTAGGCATTGCATCATCAATAGTTTCTCTTAGTGTTTTCAAAACCAAATTGAAAGTAATATGCGTAATTTTCCCGATCAAGTGATCTGTAGATCAAATTTATTGAATCACAAGTTTATTACTCTCTCCGTTCTTTTATAAGTGATGTTTTAAGATAATGCACATAGATTAAGAAATCATTTAATTTTTGTTTATTTTTAAACTAAAACATCATTTATTATCTAATCAACCAATAAAAAAACAATCTACAGAATATAAATCGTCAAAACCAATAAAAACGTAATTAATTTTGCATTAAAAATTGAAAACATCATATATATAAGAACAAAATTAGAACCTTAAAACATCACTTATAAAATAACGGAGTAAGTATTGATAAATAGGAAAAAAATCAATGATTCAAACAATTGACCAATTCTTTGACCAAATTTATTGAACATTTTAATTATTTAATTGATTACTTTGATAGTACATATCATAGAATCATCATATTTCAGTTTTTTTTTTTTTTTTTTGCTTCACAGAATACTAGTTCTTCTCGCGAGCATGATTTACATTATTAGATATTTTTGCTTCATCCTGATTCTTAGTTCATCTTCGGTGATGGTGGTAGCGGCGGCGGCGGTGGCGGAGGAAAACCATAACCGGGTTTTGTTGGATCGTGTTTTGGGTCTGGGCCTGGTTCCGGATAATCCATGATCGTCGGAATACTCTCGTCAACCTATATTATTACATATTAACAATTACTTTTTGGTTTGGTAAAATTACACAATAGTTATCATATGCTGATTTTTTTCCTTTCAAATGACTGAAAATATTATTGACTAAATTTATTATTAGTCAATAAATATGAAAGAAACTAAAGATCTATGTATACAAGGATTTTATTAATGAGATTGCTTACCTTGTTTAAGGAATATTGGTCGGAGTGAGCAACTCCATGGCCCTCTCTTAACCCTAAAAAAAAAGAAAAATTGAATTCAATGAAAACCATATTAGATTATAAGTGTGAAATCCTTAACAATCAGACTAGAGAGATCTTGGATGTTAAAAATGTAAAACTATTTACAGAACCTGTTTGAATATATTTCACACCTTTAATCATGTAACTGTAACCATTCCTTTACTTAATTAGATGTTTTAAAATATGATCTATATACAAATATACAAATTGATTTACCCGAAGAAAACAATGGAAGCAGAAGCAAGAACGACATGAGAACCACCAGCTTCATCTTTGAAAGCATTTTTCTTTTGTTTTAGTTTTGTTGTTTGGAACTAACTCACGCTTCTATATATATGCGTTCATGTATTTGCATGTGTTGGCAAATTGATGATACAATTTACCATTATGTATTTGCCCATAGGTTTATAATAACTACGTATTTACTACAATTCAAACTAAATCTTTTGGTGACAGATTTTATTTTCAGACAAGTAACATATTTTTAATTCATCAAATTATTAATTAGTTTCCCAAAAAAATCAGATCATATTTAGAGAAGCATAATCAGAAAATATTAATTAAATAATGAGGAAATTAGGAAACTATATTATGATTAAAAAGAAAAATAATTATGAATAATGATTATGATTTTTTTAATTAATGATTAAATTCATTGAAAAACAGTTATTTGGGTAAGTACATGAAAATTAAACCTTTACTTGGACGTTTGATTACAATTTTTTTTTAATTGATCTTTTCAAAGTTATACAAAATGATGTGTAGGATATTCATGGTATGAGAGTGATTTAGCATCATCCGGTTAATCCGACTTAAATCTCAAAATAAACCGAGATCAACCTCGTAGTAAAGCCCAACCAACTTGAAAATAGAAGAATTAGAGCCGACCTAACTGGACAGATTGAACCAAATCTACTTCGAATATTAACATTAAGAAGAAAAAGGAAGATCTCTTTCGAGAAATAAGGGAAAAGAACATATTGGATGACCTAGGAGGGAGAAGTATAAATAACAAACTCGGCTGACGAGCAAGCTATCCACACTTCGCGCCTCAAGAACCTCAATTCGTAAGGAAAATCCTAACTTGTTATCAAAACTCTTTATAATTTCACTGACTTTATACTTGAGATTAATAAAGAAAATGATTTTCTTAAATTTTGTCTTTAAATTTTAACCTCCGGTTTATCTGTGCGGAATCCATTCGCACATTTATGTTCATCTTGCTTCGTTTTTATAACCGGAAAATAAGAAAACCAGATTGGACAATCCTAATTGAGGTCAGGTTTGAACCGGTTCAGTTGCTCACGTTACCTTGGTTTAATAAAACCGTAATGAGCTTTTTTTAATCAAAGCAACTAGTTTATTCTATCTAATAGAAAAGCAATTAACAAAGCAAATGTGACACATGACATGGTGTAACTATAACTTGTGATATTGTAAATTTGTAATATATAACTATAACTGTTTCTATCTTATATAAGCATGAAAATACAACACATGTAAATAACTTTTAAGATCAATTTAAATTGATCAAAACAATGTTTTCAATACTATCTAGATTCGCCACTTGAAAAAAGAAATTGATGAACAAACAAATATGAATATATTGACATTAGAAAAATAACTAGTTGTCGAATTCCTATCTTTCAAACATTATATAATTTTCTTATTGCGATCAATTCCTTAGAAAAGTAAAAGAACAATAACCACATATTACTAGACGTTGCATATCAATATATTCTTAGCGTTTTCAAAATCATATTTAAAAGTAAAATTCTGTTATTTTATCGAATCATGGGACTAGTAGTTAGAATTTATTGATGATTATAAGGATGGATTGAACCAATATTACATATATTTCTTCTCCAGTATATTATAAAACGTTGCATCATCAATATATATTACACATTTTGTTCTCCATTATGGGTTCTTCTTCTTCATCCTAAGATGCGGAGGATGTGGTCCATGTGGACGTCCAGGATAACGTCGTCCAGGTTCGTTGGGACCAGGTTCTGGATAGTCCATCAGATTCTCAATACTCTCTTTAACCTGTATTACATATTTGTTTTCCCAACCAACAATTACTATAATTTAATTCAAATCATGAAATTGTATTATTAGTCAGTAGAATATGAAAATTTAACGTGTTTTATTTTATTGCTTACCTTGCCTGAGGAATATTGATCGATATGAGTAACACCAAGGTCCTCCTTCAACCCTAAGAAAACAATTAGAGGATAACAAAAAATTATGCAATATATAAATATGTATGTATAATTTAACTAATAAACGGTGTATACTAATATATGTATTGCGATAAAATATATTCTTAAACGTTGACAAGACAAAATATATTAATAAACTTTATGTGTGAATTCCTGAAGAATCACACTATGTCTTGGGTACCACTACTTATATAGATCCTTTTTGACAATCAAATATGTTCTAATTAAAATATCGATTTTATTTATTTAACATGAGATTACCTGAAGAACACAATGAAAACATGAGCAAGAACGAGAAGAAAACTACCAACTTCATCTTTGTGGATAGGAGAATCGGGTTTGATAAAATGGAATTCGTGTTAAACTTTTTTTTAAAACACGTAAGGAAATTGGTCATACGATGAAAGAAACAAGTGAAATAGATTGTTTGTTTGTTTATAATTTTGGAGGAATGAATATAATATCAAAATGATGAATAAAAGTTTTCTAAGGGTCTTTGACAAAGAAAAGATGTCCTCTCATGGTGACATTGATCTCCAATTTATAGACTGATCCTCCCTTAATGGACCAATAATATACAATGTGTGATGTGTCAACGTGTGATACCAATTTTACTAAAATGTTAAACACACGTACGTAACGTTTGATTGATTAAAAGAAATATCTCTTAATCTTTTTGATATAGAAATAATGGATTCTGTAGTTGTAAGTAGTTAAGGAACATATAATTTACATAAATGTATCATTTAGAACAGTTGAATTTCATTATTTTTATTTATTAATTTAAAATGTGTCACTAATATGCAGTAATTTACATTATTTGATAAGCTCACACATCTTACAAGCTTAAAAAATAAATTGTAACACTTAATTTGGTAAAATATTAAGGCAATGTCATTGCTTTAAATCGAATGCCACATATAATTTAAAATGAGAAATTATGTCGATTGGAAAAAAATGAAAACCCAAAACGTTGACTAGAATCCTATATATTTAAAACAAAATATTATTTTCAATCTATTAAACAAAAAAGTCATAAAAAATCAAAACATAAAATCGAATCCCTAATATCCTTTTGAAGAACAAAAGTTTACTTTAAATCAGTAAACCTCGAAAGAGATCCATCGATCGAACTCTATTTCTTAAAGCTTTCTTGTCCTCGATCAAACAAGATTCATTAGTAAATTCCAACGTTTTTGAAATCCCCTCCCATAATTATTAAGTAATCTTTTTTTGGTGAGAATAATTATTAAGTAATCTTCATATGATCCTTCTTTAACAAAAAATAAATCCACGTGTGCAGAAGAGTTTACATATATATATATATATATATATATATATATATATATATATATATATATATATATATATATATATATATATATTAGTTGAATTTATGATATGGCTGAATTAAAATGGATGTTTTATGTACTGAGAAAAAGTTGTTTTTGTTTCCTTATATCATGAACCAATTACAAAATACACGTGTCAAGTAAAGTTTGATTGATTAAATAAAAAGTAACTAAAATTTTCAAAATTATCAAATGAAAATATTTTAAAAATTTTGATATAGAAGAAATACATTGATTGTATTTAAGTAGTTAATAAATATTATTATTAATCTAAATCGTATGACTAATTTTATTATTAATATAACATAATATACACTGTATATTATTTGATAAGTATGTTAGTGAGTTGTGCTAATATTATTTCTCTTCTTGGCATCCAAATGTGTGAACTCCATTATTTAAACATGTAACTAAAAAGACACACAAAACATACCAAAATACACACAAAAACACTATATGACTTCTAAAACGAAAGAAGACTCACTTTGACACTACATGCAACAAAACAAAATGTAAATACCAATAAAACATGATAAAATGGATATTAACAACCTTGACAAAGCAGTAAATATGGAGTATATCAACTCCCTGGATTTGACATTTGCTTGTCCTCAAGCAAACAATTAAAAGAAAAACCAAAAGAAAAGGTTTGAAGGTGGGAACTCATATTCAAAAGAAAGCACATAAACATTTCAATCTACTGTCCTTAGATAAAAGTAGGATAATGCATGAATCACCCATACTCTAACGAACTTCTCTATACTATACTAATCTCTACTCGAATCTTTTACTTAGTCTAATTCTCAGCATCTTCAAGCATTCATATCATCCAACTCTTTTACATTCATTAAGCTTTTAGAAATGTGGCTCTCACATTGCTTCTCAGAAGTTAATTGATAAATATAACATTTAATTTGGTAAAATAGTAAGGAAATGTTTTTACTATAAATCGAAGCCCCTAGTAATAATTAAAAATAAATAAAAAGCTTTTCAATCTATGAAGAAATCAAAATAAAAACATTAGATTGAATCCCTTCAACACACATTTGTTTTTTTTTGGTGTGCAAATTCACATATTTGTTGTTACATAATTCATAGAAGAAAGTTATTAGTCAAGAAGATCAAAGGTGGTTGTAAAAGTTTTGTTATCATTCTCATTATGGTTTCTCTCTTCGATCTCTACCAATGTCAAAACGATCGTGATCATCCGAAGGAAATAGAAAGATGCTTCAGAAAATTTCTGGGAAAACCATGGACGCTCGAGTATTTCTGCTATATCGAAGATCCTTCTAATTGCTTTCCTTTCATTTATCTCGAAGATTGCCTCAAAACATGTCCGCCTATAGGAAAAGGTGAAGCACCGTCTCCTCCGCTTGGTACAACATTGCCTCCCCTATAAATGCTCACTGGTTGATGATGTTCTTTTGATATCACTAGATTAAGTTTCTAGTATCAGATGCTAACTTTCCATGGCATAACATCAAATTTATGAAACAAAACTTGTAGTTTACTGCTTTGTGTTAATGTCGATGTCATCACCCAAATTCACACCGTTATATATTGCATATTCTTAACAAATTAAAAGTATAAAAAAACATCCCAATTCGGTTCTTCGTCTGGTTATAAGGAATAAAACTGTATGTATATAAACTTTTAAAAATACTGTCAAATTTCTAATATGTATATAAATATACATTTGAGAAAGAAATTCACAACCTTTAAACAAAAATTCTGTAAAATAATAAGACTGGATGTGCGTAAAAGGTAAATATAGAGTTACATACCCTATCAAACAATCAGCATCACTAACCATACATGTAAAAGCTAAGAGCAAACCATTACCTTTCTTTCTTTCTGATTGTTTCTTTTTATATTTCTAAACAAAAAAAAAAAAAAAGTGAAAGTCACCAAAAATGAAATTAGGAATTACGAGCATAGGAGTGGAACACAATCAGAGGGTAAGAGGATCAACTTCCGAGTTTCGTTCCTTCATCGGACTCCATTCTTCTGCCTCTGCAATAAACAGAGAGTGCTAAATAAGACATTACCATTTGCCACAAACAAACAATGGTTTCTATTTTGCTACACTCTCTAAATATAATCGCCGTAATTTAAGAGAAAAGAAAAGGAACATACTTGGCTTTTCGGAGATGACCATAAGCCGTCGTTGTAATATGGAGGCTACAAAGAGGAAGATTGAGCACATACCAAACATGATTGTGATCGGAAATGCGTCCACCTGCAGAATCAGAAAACAAAAGAAAAAACAAAATTTTCAGTTTTTTAGCTTTTTTTTTCTTTTTCTGTTATGTAAAGAGGACGAAGACATGACTTTTTTCTTACGTTGTACAAGACGATGCAGACAAAGATGTTGAGCGGCACACGGAAGAAATTCATTATGGTGCTTCGTGCTTCTTCAGGGATATACTGTGATCTCATCTTCATTATCGAAGGCCAAAATATTCCTACACAAGCCTCGAAAACACAGAAACCAAGTAGCTGAATGGAGCTAGTTAACGACAAGCCTTCGTCTTTCACCTTTGATGGCGTCACCAAGACCTGTGCCACATGTTATTATGGGGTTAATGTGCGTATAGAAGATTGTACAAACTTAAGTGTACCAATGAAGTTTCAGACTCTTGAGACATACGCTTGTTGTAATGGGAAGAAGAAGTGAAGCAGCAGAGACTAGAAAGACAATTTGCATGTAGTTTTCGACTCTGAGAGATGAGCGAGACATGAGACGAGCTGCAAGGGAGCTTCCCAACATCGAGGCTAACATGAAGGTTGCAAAGACGAAGCCATGTGGAATTTCTTCATCGTTTGGGCTAAGAGCTGGTGTCCAGAGGAAAACAAAGGTGTACATTGAGGCTTCAAATAGAGACTGAATAGCGCCAAGCAATGCAATCTTTTCATCTGAGAAATCATCATAGATTGTGTTAGAGAAATGAGGAAACATAGCTTGCAAATAAATGCAGGATAGGATGAATGGAGACAGAGTATATTGAGAAGCCTTTAAAGCAACAGTTTTAACGCTAAACTTTGAACCTGCCTGAAGCAATTGCTATGGCAGCAACTTTGAACTGAGTCAGCAAGTCTTTGCTGTCAGATGGATCTCCAAAATTCTCAGACCATGTTGCCAATATGATGGCCATTCCAATTGCAAGAAAGCACGCAGCGGCGTCAAAGGGAGCAACAGGGCCAAAGGAAAAAGTGTCAACAAGAAGATTGCCGAACAATCCCGAGAGAATAGCCACCAGTCCGTTCCCAAGGAAAACAGCCTTAGAGAATGTAAGTGACAGCCACTGTTGCTCGAAGTTCCTCTGCATAGTTGTTCAGAACAGAGAAAAATTCACATCAGGCTATAGCTAAAAGAAATCACTAAAAGGTTATAAGTCTTTACTTTCTTCGTTATCCAACTTTGTGTACAGATTGCACTTTGAAGTCCATTAATGATAGTTTATAGATACTACAGAACTTTATAGTCATCAAGAACTAATTATCTTAATTGTGTAATTCATCACGCTAGTTGAGAAACAGACATAGTTGGGAGGGTTACAATGTTTCTATCAAATAACTATTAAGTATTTAGGGAATTTCCGTAGGAATAAACTAAAAAAAGGGTTTGAATACCTAGACTGAGTAATATGGATATGATTCATATGTATAAGAAAATAAGAGTAATAAAGCTAAGGTTGACCTTGTTGTGCTCTGCAATTAGCCAAGATTCGAATGCCGAAAACAAGAGAGATGTAGCAATACCACCTAAGATACGGCCAACCATCAAAACTTTGTACTGTGGAGAGTGCTTTGTGATGCAACTTAGTATGTAAACTATGCAGTATGTAACACATGCCCTCTTTCGACCCCTGAATCCAACACACACAAAGATATTAGTTACCTAAACATAGTTCTCCACCAATAACACGGACTTAAACAAAAGAGAGAAAGCATTCTCACTGTTTGTCAGCCAGAGATCCAACAATGGTTCCAAACAACATTGATGAACCAAAACCAGCAATGAAAAGCTGACCAATATCTCCTTTCCCAAAACCATAAGTGCTGTAAAGGTAATACACATAAGGACCCTGAAGCCAGTCCCCAGCTGCAACAACATAATCATCGATAAACACAAGTGTATCAGCATGAATTGATTCATCAATGCATTGAACATACTATTATCATTAATTGCACCATTATTCGTAATAACAGTATCATCTTGTTCATTTGATAATGAATCAGGTAATAGTCACTCGATCTAAACATTCCATCAAAATCATCCAAATCTTTGATCAACGACACATTTGATCAAACCTAGTTATGACACATGAAAACAAATCTGCCAGAATTTACATAAGGATTATCGTCAATCACTGATACCAGATTTGGAAAGGGCAAAGCAAACCATCGTATTCAAATGATAATTCCAGATTTGATATGAGCTACAACAACAAATCCAATCAGTGGATGAAGAAAATTGTAAGCATAAATTGTATCTACTTCTGGATTCGATCTAGCACATAAGTGGATGACGCTAAAACAAAAAGAAGAAGTGGAGAAATGAACTCAGAATCACTTAGATCAGATCGATGACAGGTAACATCAATCAAATTGCAGGTGCCGATCAATCAATCACAGAGCTGATTCCGATATAAGAGTGCGAAATTAGCAGCAATTTTGGAATTGAAAGCGATAATGGCGGAGAGAGGTACCCATCATAATAGAGAAAACGAGGAGATAATTGTTCTTGAAAGAATTGAAGGAAGACGAAGTGTTGATCCGATCCTTGTTTCTCTTACTCAGCTCCAACGCCGCCACTACGGCAGCCATGACTCCAAATACCAAGTAGTAGAAAACCTCCATTGTTGCTTCTCTCACTCTCTCAGAGCCACCGAGAAGAAGAAGAAGGAAATGTCTCGGAGTGGTATGCGCAATTGTACCAAACCAATTACTGTGGAAATTATCCTCTACAACGCGGTTATCGTACACGTAAGCATGAGTCGGTGAGTTTCACTAGGACTCGACAAAATAACCGAACAACAAGAATCGAACCGGAACCGAAGCAAAAAGAACCGAACTGAAACCGAACCGAAATTTTAAAATACTCAAATAGATCTTAAATTTTAGAACCGAACGAACCGGAACCGGAACCGAACCGAATCGAAATATTTCGGGTACCCGAAAATACCCGAAATATGAGTTTATATCTAAAAATATTAGTTATTTTTAGATCGAATAACCAAAAATATCCGAAATAGCAACAAATATTTGGAAAATATATTAAAAATACTTAAAATATCCAAAAAATACTCAAAAATATCCGAAAATACCCAAAAATATCCAAAATATCTAAAAATATCTGAAAGAAAATATCCTAATGGATCCTAAACTTCAGAACCGAAAGAACCGGAACCGGAACCGAACCGAAATTGTTTGGTTCCTATATAGATCCTAAACTTTAGAACCGAAAGAACCGGAACCGGAACCGAACTGAAATTGTTTGGTTCCTATATGGATCCTAAACTCTATAACCGAAAGAACCGAAATCGAACTAGAACTGAACGGGTACCCGAACGCTCATGCCTATTTATTAATATTTACTTTTTAAATATAATTACATCAATAAAAAATTGTAGCTAAAATAAGATCACATTATTTATGAAGCACATTCACATGGATTTTGATTCACAAATTTATTTTTAAAGGAAACTTTTCAATATATAAAGTAGTAATTAAAATCTGAATACAATGTAACTATATTGTCAAAACACTTATGTACTCTGTTTCTTTTATCTAATTTGGCCGACAAAAAAAATAAAAATAAATATATTGACCATTTGATTCTGTGTATAGGATTAGGAACCGGTTCAAACTTCAAACCAAATAACCGATCTTTGGTTATGATGTCATCAAAGAGGCTCTTGCCATTGCCAAGGCACCTTCATAGGTTCGGTTTGCACCAATGAAACCGCTCATGTGCACAAAAACACAGCCTGGGATTGAACTTTCCTCTGAGAGCTTCTCCATTTCTAGACCTCTCCATGATAATGGCAAAGCTTTACGGCTCTCAAACCTCTCTGGTGAAACTGAAACTGCTTGGATCCTCCAGTTTTCGCTTCTATCATCCTGCACAAATCCACATTCACACACACACTCATTGGCTTAAAGAGATATAAAGTTTACGACAACATAGTAAGATTGTTTCATAAACCCCGGTAGTTACCTGGTAAAGAACATATTTTATGGGAGGATCAATCTTCATTTCTTCCTCGAGCTCGAATATATGGAGTTTCCACTGTCAATTGCACAAAACTCTTACACCTTTGAAGACTATTCCACCATTTCATCAATTCTAATCCCTCTAGCAAATTATAACCCCAAACAACGAAGTTGTTGATATATGTAAAGGAGCTCATTTTAACTTACTGGGCATTGTTTACTGAGCTTCATAATTTCTCCACTGGAGTCTATATCATACCGTTTTGCAAGGCATTCCATAACAATTGACCGAGCTGGTAACCACGATTTCGCGTGAAAATGAACACACTGTCAAAAGGTAGAAACACAGGTAGCTTTAGAAACATATTCTCATAGCAGTCATTTCTTATGAAACAATGGAAATGAAACAGAGCCATTTCTTTATCAGACGTAGACAACATTTGTTATAAGAACTAATAGCATCTCATTAGGTTGATTCATTCAAAGTTACCAAACTAGTTTTGGTTTGGGTACTAGCATTTTTCCTAGTTGCACCTCTATTCCAAGAAGAATAAGAACCAACTGATTTTAGGTAATTGAACGAGATATAAAACTATAGAAGAGGAAGAAAAACCTCCAAAAACTCAGAGCCAGCAAGTTCCATTGCCCGATGAAAGGCTTCGTCTTCTTTTTCACTAGACTGATCAGGCTCAATCCAGTCTAGGTTTAACCTTCCAATCCTATGCCCCAGGCTAGTATTGTTTACATATCTTGGAGGCTGGTCAGTATCATACTGATGGATGCCATTGTCTATAGCATCTACTGCCTGTAATTGTACACAACAAGAAGTTACCTTAACACAATGTAAGAACATCACAGTATATATGAAAGTTCAAGAACTGGTCTACTAGCTCTAATATCAATACTACAATCTCTTTCTTTGTTAGCATCCTCAATTTGAAAAAGAAAAATCTCAGACAGAGCCACGACTATAAACGATATTTGCCAATTAGACAACAGATTCAGTAACTTGTTCCCATCAAACACTAAACTTTCAAAGCCATAGCCAACAACTTCAGATCGTTTCGTGCTGGATAGTTCACTCAATAGATATCAACGGATATAGCAGCTTAAAGAAACAAACTTTCTAGAGCAAGAAGCACTACCTCGATGAAGTTCTTGTACACAGCTAGAAACAATCGAAACACATCGGGATGTCTCTGATCAAGTTGAAGCTCCTTAGAAATTATCTCCAATCCATAATGCTAGAAGAAAAAAGTATCAGCACAATTCACACAATCCTCAAATTAACCACCAATACAGAAGAAAGTATCATCCTTTACCTTATAGACAAGCCCAGCACTACTGAGTTTAGTATTGAACCCAAGGCCAAACACTTCACTAAAGCCTTTCTGGTGATGGTCATAACGTTCACTCTGAGGATCATACACACCTCCAACATCAAGTGCCGCATCAAGCTTCTCCAAAACCTTATATAACCACATCACAAGAACAAGTACAAACTAAGACAGAGCTGATGAAAAATCGCACACAAAAAATCAATTACTGCACAAGTTCATAGCTACACACACAAAATTTCAAGAATTTTATATAAAACTCAGACTAAATTAACCATTTCACGGAAATTTCGAAAAAAAACAAAATTGAACCCAAAGGAAGAAACTTTGCACATAGATAAACTCAAATACATGGTAAATTGAACAAAGGGTACCTGATGATCTCTGGTTCGTATGATTTGAGCATCGGAGAATCTACTGGAACGACGAAGGATGAAGCAAGCTAAGGCTTCGTCGCAGTGGAAAGTTCCATTGTGCGTCCCAATACGTTTGGTCGAGAAACTAGCTCGGAAGTTTGAATAACGTTTGAGAAACAGAGAACGATTCCAGATTCTGCTGCAACAGAGACCTCTTGACACAAACATGGCTGAGAGAGAGAGAAGAAGCAGCTTTTCTACAACTAAAACCCTTGACGTTGCGGGTTTAAGCTGAGCTTTGGGATTTGATGAAAACGACGCCGTATTATTTTGGTCAAAGACGAAAACGACGCTGACGACGCCGTTTTAATTTTTATAAACTTTTGCACTTTTGGAGAATTGATTTTGTTTTTTCTTGGGATTTTTAAATAGAGTTGATGATCTTTGGTAGACCTACCAATATGGTTGATCACCACACTCACATTCTTGGTAATCAAAATCTGTTTGTTTCTTTATTTAATTGAATTTATGTACCAAATGTACCAAAATACAAACACTAAATTTCATAGAAAACTGAAGATCAAATCCAAATGACAATACAACAATAAATCAATGGATTATCATAATTGCGCAAGAATTTGGATTATACATAAACACTCTCACTTCTGGATAAGTTTGTTCATAACGAATTATTAAACAAACATGACAAAATGCAACCCACATTACTTTGGAAAGACTTCAAACCAAAGGAATTGAGAAATGTGGTCTATAAGCAATAAACATTATTGCCTTCAACCAAAATCACCAAACATATTTTCATGATGATTCTTCTTCTAATTCTAATTAATCACAAAACCAAAATGATTATTGACCCGATCAACGCAGAATTAAATAAATACTAAATTCTGAGATGTCAAACATCATAATATTGAAGGTTAACAACTACGTTTTGGAACATATTCGATACATTCAATATGGAGCTAAAAAGTATAAATATGATATCACCAATTAGCTCTCTCTTGACTCTTGATCATATCATCAAAACAACACCTTATGAGCAAATGGCTTATGTTCACCTACTCATCTCTCTTCTCATCTTCATTACCTTCAAATCTTCAATCTCCGTCGTCCCTGATCCACCAACACAAAACCTAATCAACAGAATATGCAAACAAACCATCGATTTCAAGTTCTGCAATCAAACAATCACATCTCAGCTGATCAGACGACAAACCTCAATCAAAACAATCGCGAAACTAACGGCAGCTAAAGCATGGATCAACGCGATACAAACGCTTGATAACATCGAAGATTCTCTTCTTCCGAAAGCGAAAGATAAACGAGACAAAGCAGAGTTTGATGCTTGTAGGAAAGCTTATAAGTTGGTGGATGCTCATTTAGACAACGCTTTGAAGTATTTGTATTTACGAGATTATAGATTCATGAGAGCGTATCAAGCTCTTGCACTTGTGAATATTTCCATGTGTAGGACGAGTTTTTTTCATCCGACGCCTATGGTTTATGCGAATTGGAACATGAAGATGTTGACGGATATCGCGATTTATGCTGGCAAGATTCTTTCTCCTCCTCCTCCTCTTAGGAAGAAGAGCAAGTCGCCATGAAAGACGTCAATTTTGAAAGTTGGAGCTTTGTTTCTCTTTTATTCTTATTATTTTTCAATCAAATAGTATTTTTCTGAATTATTTCAGACAAAATTCCAAAATTTTTATATATAAAAAATTTTTCTTTGTTATTTAGGGGAAAGTATAGGTTTGAGTCATTTTTTTTCTATATATACTTTTTTTCTTTTCTTTGTAACATTTTTTTATATAAATGTAAGTTGCCATAATTTTGGAGAAATGATTAGCAAAGAATACTTACTAATCACGATAATTCTCTTGCCTAACTACAGTTGGGTTTTTGGTGTTTTTCAAGGGACATGACGGAGACAGAAACATACAAATTAAACAAGAAAAGAACTATGCTTAAACAGAGTTGGATTGAGTTTAGAACCGTTGTGTGGCTGTTAGAGAAACGGAAAGATATTGTTGCATTGCATGTGTGAAGAGCATGGAACGAATATTTTTGTCAAGAGAATTGACCTTACTGAATGACATTATTTTGTTTCTTGTTTCTAATTTTGGAAGTGAGCTGAGTATGTTCTTTGGTAGGGAATTTCACGCAATCCCACCATGTGTAAATGAACTCAGACCAAAACCCAACGAGATGAACTTTGCTGTTAGAATGTTTTAAAAACAAAAAATTGTAAGATGAATTTTTTTTTGAAAGATGAACATTGCCGAGGTTAATTTCTTGAGCCAAACGAGATGTTAAAACCGTCTCAAAATTTTGACGATCCAGGCTTCATGATGGTGGATAAACCGTCTCGAAATGTTTTGAAAGCTACACATGCTCTGATGCTCGCCAACACTGTTGTTAATATAGAGTTCTATTATTAGAAAATTAGAAATGTCTTCCTCTGTAGTCTGTAGAAGTATTAAAAAAAAAAAAAAGCAAATACGAACTTAGTTAATACTACCAACGTAATACATACTTCAACCAACATAAATTCCAAAATACTTAAAATACATACTTCAACCAACATAAATTCCAAAATACTTAAAATACATACTTCAACCAACATAAATTCCAAAATACTTAAAATACATATGACTGCAAATTAAAGGACAATTATTCATATGGGTGTTATTGGAGTGTGGTTATCCCCGGTTTAGTTTAATTTATCTTGGTTATGTTAACCGAGATTGTATAGCTTTAGTATACTTGTATAAATACTCTGTACAGATACATTTTACAATCTAATGAGAAATAAATATTCATAACAAATTTTCTCATCTTCTTCTCTCTCAAGTAATATGGTATCAGAGCCATCAAGCTCGAATCTCCATTGATTTCGATTTGATTTCTTCGTTTTTGAGCTCAAAACTCATCATCTACAATGGTGACAGCTCGTGTTATTCGGAAATCCACTCGATCGAAGTCTGGAACAAGCTCAGCTACTCGGAAAACGTCGCGATCGTCTGATGTTGTTGAATCTCCTCCGCCTACTCCTCCAGTTGCTAAATCTCGAGCTTCTAGAGCTTCGCGCACCGTCGCAACATCGGAATACTCAGATCAGGCGTATTCTCTTTTCTTCCTTCACAGTGCCGATCATCCAGGTTTGGTTTTAGTCGCGATTCGTTTAGATGGAACTAACTATGATGATTGGGATGATGCGATGCGTATTGCTTTAGATTCAAAAGGGAAAATAGGATTTATAGATGGATCCTTAGCTCGTCCTGATGAATCGGATGCAAATTTTCCTATCTGGTCTAGATGCAACAGTATGATAAAGTCTTTGCTCTTGAATTCGGTTTCTCCACAGATCTATCGCAGTATCTTGAGATTGAAGGATGCTTGTGATATTTGGCGTGATCTGTATAGCCGATTTCATATGAGTAATCTTCCAAGAACTTTTAATCTCACACAAGAGATTCAAGATCTTCGTCAAGGATCTATGACTTTGATGGAGTACTATACGACTTTGAAGACTTTATAGAGCAATTTGGAGAACAGTGAAGAACTTGATGAACCTTGTACCTGTGGTAAAGCTGCTCGTCTGCAATTGAAGGCAGAGAGAGCTAAAATTGTTAAGTTTCTTGCAGGACTTAATGATTCCTATGCTATCATCAGGAGGCAGATTATCATGAAGAAGGTTCTCCCTAGCCTTGCTGAAGTCTATAATATTCTTGATCAGGATGATAGTCAGAAAGGATTTTCAACTCTGGCTGTTACTCCTGCTGCTTTTCAAGTCTCAGAAGTTGAGATTTCCTCTGGACAAGATCCCACAATTTGTTATGTACAAACTGGTCCAAACAAAGGAAGACCTATCTGTTCTTATTGTAATCGTGTGGGACACATTGCAGAGAGATGCTATAAAAAGCATGGATTTCCCCTGGTTTTACACCTAAGGGTAGAGTTTTTGATAAGTTTGGTGCAGGTAAACCAAAGCCTATTGCTGCTCAAGTGACTTTGGCTACTCCACCAGATGAAGAATCTCAGAATGTGGAAAGTATGATTGGAAATTTAAGCAAAGATCAGATTCAGCAGTTTATTGCACTCTTCAGTTCTCAGTTACAGACTCATGCAGTTGCTACTGGATCAAATGAAGCTAGCTCATCTAAATCTGATTACACTAGTATTTCTTTCTCTCCTTCTACCTACTGTTTTGTTGGCATTTTGACAGTCTCCAAGACTACTATTTCTCCACAGACTTGGGTTATAGACTCAGGAGCAACTCATCATGTTGCTCATGATAGAAGCTTATTCTTGAATATTGATACTTCTGTTATGAGTTGTGTGAATTTGCCAGCAGGTCCAACAGTTAAGATCAGTGGTGTTGGCACAATTAGGATTAATGCTCATATCCTTCTACAGAATGTGCTATTCATTCCAGAATTCAGATTGAACTTGATCAGTATCAGTTCTTTGATTAGTGATCTTGGTTTCAGAGTTATATTTGATCATAATTCTTGTGAAATCCAGGATCTTACCAAGGAGTTAACAATTGGAAAAGGTAGGAGGGTGGCAAATCTATACGTATTGGATGTTGAAGAATCTGAAGTCTCAATTAATGCAGTCTTTGATGTTAGTATGTGGCACCAGAGATTAGGCCATCCTTCATATAGCAGATTGGATGTTCTTTCTCAATCTCTAGGCACTACTAGACATAAGAATAAAGGCTCAGCATACTGTCATGTGTGTCATTTAGCCAAACAGAAGAAGTTATCTTATATTTCCCCCAATAACATTTGTAATTCAAACTTTGAGTTATTACATATTGATATTTGGGGTCCTTTCTCTGTTGAATCAGTTGATGGATTTCGTTATTTTCTGACTATAGTTGATGATCATTCAAGAGCCACTTGGGTTTATTTGTTGAGAAATAAAGCAGAGGTTCTCACAGTATTTCCAGGATTTTTGAACTTGATAGAGAATCAGTATAATGTCAGAGTTAAGGCAGTGAGATCAGATAATGCACCTGAGCTGAAATTCACCAGATTTTATCAAGAAAAAGGAATTCAGTCTTTTCACTCTTGTCCTGAAACACCAGAACAGAATTCAGTGGTAGAGCGTAAGCACCAGCATATTCTTAATGTGGCTCGTGCGTTGATGTTTCAGTCTAAACTTCCTCTACAGTATTGGAGTGATTCAATTTTAACTGCTGTGTTCCTCATCAATAGGACACCTTCTCAGCTACTTTTGAATAAGACTCCATATGAAGTTTTGACTGGCACTACACCGGTTTATGATCAACTCAGGACTTTCGGTTGTTTGTGTTATTGCTCAACTTCTCCACAACAGAGACATAAGTTTCAGCCTCGTTCTAAAGCATGTCTGTTCTTGGGATACCCTGCAGGTTATAAGGGATACAAGTTACTGGATTTAGAGACTAATAAAATTTCTATTTCCAGGAATGTTGTATTTCATGAAGAGATTTTCCCATTGGCTAAAGATCCGGATAATGATGAAGCTTTGAAGTTCTTTACATCGACAGATTCTGTGCCTCCAGGTAACATCGATCCATCATTTTTCCCTCCATCACAAATTTCTGATCTACCATTACAAATTTCTTCTAAAAGAGCTAAGAAATCTCCAGCTCATCTTCACGACTATCATTGTTATTCAATAAACTCTGATATTCAACACCCTATTTCTTCTTCCATTTCATATTCAAACATTTCACCCTCTCATCTCTCATATATCAACAATATCACCAAAATTCCTATTCCTACTACTTTTAAAGAGGCACATGAATCTGAAGAATGGTGTAAAGCGGTTGATGCAGAGATTGGTGCAATGGAATCTACAGATACATGGGAGATTACAACTTTACCTCCAAGAAAGAAGCCTGTTGGTTGTAAGTGGGTGTTTACTCTGAAGTTTCTTGCAGATGGCAGTCTAGAGAGATATAAGGCTCGTCTTGTTGCAAAGGGGTATACTCAGAAAGAAGGAGTTGATTATACTGAGACGTTTTCCCCTGTTGCTAAGATGGCTACTATTAAGTTGTTACTCAAAGTGTCTGCAAGCAAGAAGTGGATATTAACACAACTTGATATATCAAATGCGTTTCTTAATGGTGAATTGGAGGAGGAGATATTCATGAAACTTCCTGAAGGTTATGCAGCCAGAAAAGGTATTTCTTTACCTCCTAATGCTGTTTGTAAACTTAAAAGATCCATTTATAGACTTAAACAGGCATCTAGGCAATGGTTTAAGAAATTTTCCACCTCATTGATGAATATGGGTTTTCTAAAAGGTCATGGGGATCACACTTTGTTTGTGAAATGCTATGGAGATGATTTTGTTGCAGTTCTAGAATATGTTGATGATATAGTCATAGCTAGCACTGCAGATCATTTGGCTACTCTGGTAACTCAAGGATTACAGAGTCAGTTTAAATTGAGAGATTTGGGACCTCTGAAGTATTTTTTGGGATTGGAAATTGCTCGTACATCTGAAGGTATTTCTCTTTGCCAAAGAAAGTATGCTTTGGAGTTGCTTTCAGCTACTGGTATGTTGGGATGCAAGCCAACTTCAGTTCCTATGATTCCTAATGTCAAGTTACAGAAAGCGGATGGTATATTATTGGAGGATAAAGAAGAATATCGCTGAATTGTTGGAAAGTTGATGTATCTGACTATTACTAAGCCAGACATCACTTTTGTAGTGAATAAATTGTGTCAATTTACTTCAGCTCCACGCACCACTCATCTTGCGGCTGTTGTGGATGTCGGATTCACACACTCAAGTATTTTATTAAGTAGGAAAGATTATTCTTGAGGGACAAAAATGAATAGGTAAAAACTTCTAA